CACTCTTGACACGTACCACACTGCACCCAATCGATGTTAGAATCATATTTTGTAATTAAACACCTAATGCTAGCACAATTTTCTGACTTTTTAATACTGATTTTTTTATCGGAGGAGTTTAGTGATATGGATTCTAATTCAGAAAAATCATTTTTATTACTGGCTATCCATTGAGCCTGTAGATTTACTATGTCTACAAACTGCTCCCCGATTAAACGCAAGGCTGCTGTTGTTTTAGGAAATAACAATTTAAACAGTTTCAACACTACTCCTAACATAATATGCAAAACAGGAGACACTACATTATCTAAAGATATTATGGGAAAAATCACAGGAGAAACAACTGAATGATGAAACTTACCTAAAGCTCTTAGGTTTCCACCTTGTCTATTTTCACACAAATTCTCATTGTAAGCACCTTCTAGAGATTTTATTGTTCTCCTTATGATGCTACAATTAGCAGGTGTGTGAGGCATAGAGCCATGGCTTCTTAGAGAATTGAATTCAACTAGGTCTGTAGAATTAGGAAAGCTAGCTGAACCCTGGTGTCCCAGAACATCATCGATGAAATGAAAATCTCCACTTAAGAACAACTTAATTTTTTTGCCTTTTAGTGTGAATTGGGACGAATGAATTTTTTTTTTAATGAATTTTGTCGTTGGCATAATGCCCAAGAATTAAGGCAATGTTCTCACGACAGTCAACTGTTCTCACGACAGGCTGAACTCTGGTACATACGACAACTGTTCACAACATTGTTCACGACACTGTTCACGAACTCTGGTACATACGACAACTGTTCTCACGACAGTCTGAACTCTGGTACATACAAAACAAATGAACATCATACATAGACCAAGATGATTTAGAATTGACAACTTCAAAATGGAATTTCATATATGTCCCACCCTTATCGCCTGCAAAAAGTAGCCATATCTCATTATCAAAACCAACATCAATGTTAAGGTGGTCGCGAATTTGAAGATTGTTGTAAACCTCTTCAGTATAAGTTGCCAAACTTTTAACCATTAATACAGATACTAAACAAAGGGCTTCATTCGCAGATGGATAAAGCAACATGGACTTTACAGTGACATGATCTTTTTCAACATGCATTTTCCGCCTTTCTTGTTCTTGTCTAATCTTGGGCTCAGATGGGAGAATCCTTGCACCAAGATTACACAGAATACGCCTAAGCTTACAAAATTCAGCTGTGGTCATCCTTAATTGGCTCTGAAGCTCTACAGCATCTGAAACACTTAACTGTTAAACAAAACCTAATTTATTTCCAACACAATGCAATATTGACATTTTACGAGACAGGACATCACATAACAACATACACAAGTCACTTTTCACATCTGAACCAGCTAACAATTGAAGAAATATAATGGCAACCTTAGATCGCCTAGCTGCACTACGCCTACTTAACTTCGAATATTGTTTAGCACAGCTTAACTTAATATAAATATGTTTTTGAACAACTATTGGGTCATCAACTGATGGATTTTGTGGCTTAATCCACTTAAACCCCAAAAACAATTCAGAAGAACCAATGTTATCATAGTCTAAATATGAATCCACAACAATTAAATTCTTACCGCTAACCAAATATTTGCAAATTTGGCAACTGTTCTAGTTTATGTTAACTTTTACGCTTTCTTTTGCAATTTTAATTTTTTTTAGCAATTTTGAATTACAGCTACGAGCAGATGCAAATTTACGATGTACTGTTTTAAGTTGTCTTTTTAAAATAAGTTGGAACTGCTCCTCCTCTCCTAGTCTAATACTCATAGTCTCTACTTGAGAACTTAATGTGTTACAATGTGTGTCAAGAGTCTTGTTTTTAGAATTTAAATCTGTAATTTCAGTTTCCAACCTTATTACCTGCGTTTTTAATTTATTTATTTGCTCCACATATGTTTCTTCTTTAGAAGTTAATTGGTCAACTTGACTACTTAGACTAAGTAGTCAAGTTGAAAAAATGTGCATAAAATTAAAAAGAAAAAAAAAACGTTTTAAAAATATTTATGAAGCTTCAAAAAACGAAGCATTTTTTAATATGCAACTGTCTCCAGCTTCACAAACCAAAAAAAGAAAATCAGCAGATGCAGATTATTTTTCAATTTTAAATAAGAATAAGGAACTAAGTCTTAGTTCCTTATTCTAATAAAAATAAGGAACTAAGACTTAGTTCCTTATTCTTATTTAAAATTGAAAAATAATCTGCATCTGCTGATTTTCTTTTTTTGATTTGTGAAGCTGGAGACAGTTGAATATTAAAAAATGCTTCGTTTTTTGAAGCTTCATAAATATTTGTAAAACGTTTTTTTTTTTCTTTTTAATTTTATGCACATTTTTTCAAAGTCTCAATAATTGGCATATATTACATATATATATATATATATATATATATATATATATATATATATATATATATATATATATATATATATATATATATATATATATATATATATATATATATATATATATATATATATATATATATATATATATATATATATATATATATATATATATATATATATATATATATATGTAAGTCGGTAAACGGGTTACATGTTGAAATTGGGGTCTTATAATTTGACAGACCTTATTTACTAATATGATTCAATTTCTAATTTATATTATTTCATAGTGGACACTGTTTCACAAACTGCTTGGTCTAAAGCAACTGCTACATACTTTCAAGGTGGAGAAAATCCTACCTATGGGCGTTTCTGGATTGATGACTTTAAAATGTGGGCAACACCATTAACTGCTAGTCAAATTCAACAAAACTATATTGATGGTAATTTTTTTTTTTTTTTTTCAAGTTCATAGGTACGTTTATTGAATTGTATAATAAAAATAACATTTTTAATTTAGAGCATGCTTACTTATAAAATTGATCATTCGGGGTATGATCAATTTTATAGGTAGACATGCTCTAATTTAAATTTTTTTTTATATTATAAAATTTATTCTAAATAAAAATATTTTTGAACTCATAAAATAAAGGATACTTTTTAGGAGAATGAGGGCTTAAAAGTACGCATGACAACAGAGGAGGGGAGAGTTTCAACTTTCCAATTTTTTTTATTAACTACCCTATTATAGTATTTACAAACAAAATAATTTTTACATTTTTTTTTTTTCGAAATACCCTAGCAATTTTTTGTAAGTTTTCACTAAAACACTTTTTTTTATCTCAGATTTATATATATATATATATATATATATATATATATATATATATATATATATATATATATATATATATATATATATATATTATATATTATATATTATATATATATATATATTAAAATACGTCATTTTTCAACAGTCTTAGTAGTAACATAATTTTCTATTAAACACAACGCACAGTGCCTCACAGCTACGGAAAAACGGCAAAAACCCTCAAATCAGTGTTTCTGAATGGATTTCAACCTTTTATGGCTCTAAATATATTAAAATTTAATCAGTAACACAACCCGAAAGTCAGAAAATAATTTTGCACACTTTTTTCAAAATATTTTTGCAAATTTGCAAATTCTGAATTTTTTTCCCACTTTCTCAACATGCTTTTCTGACGTTTTTTATTGTACTTATAGAGACAAATTCATAAATATATATATAGTTTATTTAAATAAAAAGTGACAAATTTTCAATGTTTTTAAACACTCTACATATAATCCTTTAATAACAGCCGATTTTGTCAGTAAACAGTGAAAACAATAAAGATTACATTATTCAGAAACAAATATCTACAATTTCTGTATGTTGTAACATATAACATATATAACATGCAACAATATAATTTAGATTTAAACAAAAAAACTAAACTTAGTGTTTCAGCAAGTTAAGAACTTGTTCAGACAAGGGGTTTCCATTGGAAGATTTGTGTTTTATGAAGTTGATCAACGAAATTTCTGGATCAATTCTGATCAGCAAATATTGAAATTGATTTTTCATTACATTTAGTCTGGAAATTTTGCATGAATGGTTTAACCTAGCATGTCTTATCACTTTATTTTGGGCCTCCTGAGCCTCCTCAGAATAATAACCAATGGGTAGTTCTAGATTTTCAGCAATTGCAGGTCCATGAACTAGAAGTTTGTGAAGAGTTGGAGGCATTCTGTACCAATCATAGTTATTAACTATAAAGGCTAGAGTCTCATTGCAGTATTGGCTAAATCTATCAATATCTAGGTCATACCCTGAACAAACAGCTTGAAGAACTGTCCTCACCCGAAGAATCCAACAATGCAATGATGATAAACCAAGGGACATAGCATCATCATTCACAGGTTTAATTTTAACTAGATCTAGCTTGTTCATTTCTGATGGTTTCGCACCACAAATATTGCAGCTTGCAGATGATTTTGTGTTGGTTAAGGCATTAACCACTTTGCCATCAAACATGGTTAATTCAACATGAGGTTTTATATTGATACTGACTTTTCTTCCATCCGCAAGTGTAATAATCTCAACATAATCTTCCAAATCAGCCATCTGATCACGAATGTGTTTTTCTTCTGACTTGCTAAGTTCTGTGGTTTCTTTTTTGTATTGAAGACGAAGAGGTCTGCAAAAATGAGAACTATTTGGTTTCTTATTCTCCCAAATTGTTTTACTTTCTACACTTAACTTAAGAGGTACAATTGCAGTTTGGAAAAGGGATTCTTCATTTTTTTTTAGCCTCCTCAATGTCTGTGTTATCATACCTTTGTTTATACAAACTTTGGCTTGATGCACCATCAAACCCTGCTTTTAGAATAAAACGACCATTGAGCACATTTTGATCTGGATCCAGAGTTTTTAAATTGTCTTCACTTAATACAATAACTTTTTTAAGAGTATGATTCACCATGGACTGTAATTTACTTTCAGCAGAAGTTTCAGTTACAACAAGGTCCTCTGGATAACAATTACTTTTTTCCTTGAATAGAGCATGTAATGTTGGATAAATATTGGCATTGTGTTTGATTGAGGAGTTTCTTATCATTTGATACTGATCATCACTGAGATCACAATTAACTTTTAATGAAAGTGCTTCTTTCTCACACATCATTATTGGTTCCTTGCTGTCCATACTTTTTCTGATTTCAGATGCTTTCTGAATAGACTCTTTAACCACATAAGCAAAGTCTTGTAAGTCACCTGATGATTTTGCACTTTTAACAGCAGCCAGAGCTAAAACCTCTGGATCATGCGCAGATAATCCAACAACTCTTGTTCGCTTACTTCTCTCTCCTAGATCTTTCCAATCTTTCTTTGGTCGCCCTCCACTGAACTCTTTTCTGCTTACATTGTCAGCTTTCATAACAATTTGAATTTCGGTTTGCAACCATTTCTTTTCTTTCATTAACAGCCTGTCATATGTTTTGTTTACTGCAATCCACTTAGCTTTCAATTTTATCACCGAAATTCGGATTTTTTCTGTTAATTTTTCACTATGCACTTTTTCACCATCCAAACCTTCTGATATCAAAATTTCCTCATAAAGGAGGCTCACAATATCCTTGTTAGTTATACAAATTTCTCTTACTTTGGGAATCAAGTCTATTATTTTCATTTTGAGATGTAATCACAAAGGCACATATTACTAACTAATTTTTTGGATTTGTAAACAACTTTTTGCGGATTTCTTATTAATTGCAAAAAACTTTAAAATTCAATTTCTCAAAAACGTGCTACTTTGGCGCGGGTTTTTTTTTTCCGGGCATTCCTGTATATATTCAAGATACTTCCCCATCAAAATTTAGGGTGGACAAGTGTGGACAATTTTAGAAAAAGTAAATATTGTGAATATTATTTTCTGAAAATTTTTAATTTTTTCACAAATTGTGAAATTCGAACATTAATTTTTGGTGTTGATAAAAGTCCAATGTCAGTTACTTACCGGATGATATAATATATATATATATATATATATATATATATATGATGTTCACTGAAAAAATGAAAGAAAAATTTTTAAAAATGACCATTTTTTGACAATTTTACGATCTACTTGAAAACTCTAAAATTTCTAGTGAATTTTTGCCCACAAACAACCTGCATATAACAAGCTCACAAAAAGAGTAAAAATTTACAAAATCATAAAAAATGGGTTTACCTTGTTCAGTATGCTTATAACAATCAAGTTAAAGTTAAAAAACATCAAAATAAATTTAAAAAATTAATAGGGTTTTTGCCGTTTTTTCGTATCTGTGAGGCACTGTGCAACGTAACTATCATAATTTAAAGTTAACACCTATCACATTTCACTTTAAAAAAATTTATCCAATGTTAAACGTCATAAGCAGTTGAAGCATTGCCAGTAAAAGATGGAAGTTTAAAAAATTCGTAAACAATATTTAAAGTTAGTTTTTTATGTAGTACTTTTTGAACGACTAATAATACACTTTTAGATTAAAATTGAATTAATAAATGTCTAGATAAGATTTGGTTTTTTGCCAGATTTAGAAAAAGGTAATTTATATCTTTATATTTAGAATATAACAATTTGTTTTTAAATCTACCAAAAATACTACAATACAAAATAAAATCCTGAAAAGATATAATTAGTTCCTTGCCGAAAAAAACGTTCTTTAAGAACGAAAAAAAAACCTATAGCTAAACAGGGTAGCAAAAGATAAGGTTCAACCAAGTATTAGAGATTGTTAAAACTTTTATATTTATACCTAGAATCGAGGTATTCAAAAAACAATTACTCATGATTTTTTGTTATGATTACTACTTAATACTTAGAACAGCTGTTAAAAACTTATCCAGTCAATTTTTAAGAGAGTAATCCATTTTGATTACAGCTTACAAATGTTAATTTTAATAATTATACAACAAAGACTGTCCTACAATTTTAAACAACGGCTTCGTTTTCCCTCCATTTTATTATTCCTTCTTACTCATATCAGTTAATAATAATAATCAATTAATAATTTTGTAACTACATGATATATTTAACCAACTCATAAGAACTTTGCAAATAACTTGTAGTTAATAAATTGGTTATTAAAAAGAAAAACTAAAGCTTTTGGCATATTTTTACAAATTTTTTTTTTTTTTTTTTTTAATTATTCACCTCCCCAAGGCTCGAGGGGGCCACTACAGTCGAGGAGGCTACTCATTTTTTTTTTTTTTTTTTTTTTTTTTTTTGTTGTAAATCGTGGTACAACCCTCTCTCAACTCTTTAACTCCAAAACACAAACCTTGACAAGCAAGACCGCTGCGCGGAGAAATTAAGTTGAGCGTGGTACTTCCAGGGATGTGGTGGGAGTCAAACTCCGAACCTCTTGCTTACAAAGCGAGCGCTCTTACCACTACACCACTACCACATTTTAAATTTACCAAAGATAAAAAACAGAAATAATATAAATAGAAATAATATGGTTTATTATTTTCTAATATTATAAAAATATTTTTTTGTTGTTTAGAAAGTACTGATTAAGCCGATTTATTGAAAGATGTTTACATTTTGTTCCTTGACAAGGAAAATCAAAAAGAATAGAATTATGGGTCTTATCTTTAAACTTTTATAATTTCACTGATAAAAGTTTTTTTATTAATAAATGAAGAAAATAAAGAAAATATTTAGGGCCGGCGCGAGTAGGTGTCAAGAGCCTTAGAACTCTCGTCTACTTAAAAACAAGGTTCTCAGATTCTTAATTTTTTGACTAGAGATAAAGTCCCGTTTTATGGAATAAATTTATTTATAAAAAGGTTCTAATTTACCAACTAATTCCACCAATTTCTCTCCCCCCCCCCCCCCCCCTACTTACCCTCACATCTACCTTTTTGCGCCGGCATTAAAAGTATTCAATTTAAACTTGAAATTTCAGTAATTACATTAATGTTTCTTAGTGTTTTTTGGATGTTAAAGTCAGCATTTAAAAATGTTGTATGTGTAGATTTAAATTTTTGTATTTTATTGCATGTTTTAAAAATATTTAGTGCACAAATATATATATCGTTATAATAAATATTTCATGATAATATAAATTTATGTTTTATGTAAAACAATAGCCCTATTTTGACTGAGGGATTTTAAGCTGCAGTAGATAATTATAAAACCGAGAAAGTTTGTTATATACTTTTGTACAATGATAATATTATATTATTAAATTATATTGTGATCTTACGAAGTTGTAAACAATGAACTTGTTGTAAAATTGTAAATAAATGTTTATAAATAAAAAATATATTTATATAACAATTACATATAATTGTAATAAATTGCTATAATTTTAATAAATAATCATGTATTGAAATGGGGTGTTCATGTTTCTTATTTAATATGTACCTTTATTGTTGTTTATATAATTTTAACTTTTATTTTATCGCAATATTTGTTTAATGCGTCAGTTCATGTAAAATTAATGCTCCGTTATTTTGGCCCGTCATAAACCTTTTTCTATTTGAATTTTCTATTATAAAAAATGTCACAAATGATTAAAGGTTAATACAGAAAAACATTAATTATAATTAATTATAGGGTAAAAATTTTTCAAGAAAATCAAAAAAACAAAAATCTGCATAAATTAGAAAAGACAAAAAAGTTTTCTTGATAAAATTCTTAGCCGTTTAGGATTTACAGCAACTTGAAGTTTGTTTGATTTTGACAAAAAAATTAAGAGAAAAGTGCCAAAAATGTTTCCGTTTATTATTACTTTGTGTAATGCTGCAATGCTGAAACTTGGTACTACAAGAGTGAACCTACTAAATCCGAAAACTTTAGTTTTGTATCTCTCAAAACAACGCATTTCATCGGGCTATCGTATGTACGACATTAAAATTGATTATATAACTATAATCGATCCAAATAAACAGGAGAACAGTCACTACCGGCTACACAGAAAATGTCATTCTAGATCAGATGGAGCAGAGTCGTATTGTTTCAGACTTAAATACTTAGCAGCTCTAGCTCACGTTACAGTAGACTATATACTCGATTCCACAAACCTCTTCACGGCTAATCGAGTTGGAGACAACGCGACAATACTAGAAAGCTTAGATGTTGGCAGTCAGGAAATCATCAAATTTTCCGCACATTTGATTTTGGGTGTGGGCCATATTTTGGACAAATTATTTAGAAATGTGGAATAAAAAATTGGCATAAGTTAATAAGTTCATAAGTTACTGCATCTTTTGGCAAGTGAAAAAGCGTTCAGTTCTCCCAGCACCAGCATTCACATTCTTGGGTAAATCACTATTTTTAAGCTTTTGTCGTTAAGCCATATGGCTAGTTCTGTCTCTCTCTACAATGAGTACAAACAATGGCTGAATGCTTAGAATGACTTCGTTGGGTCCTGCGGATTTATTTCGAACCAATTTGGAAGAATCGCAAGTAATTCCAAACAGTTCATAAAACATAGAGAGTTAATATTGCAGTTTTTCAGCAATGTGGTTGACATAAATTTTAATAAGTTAGTGCTGGCAGTATCTGCGTACATTCAAAATAATTGGTTTTAGTTGTGTACCGAAATCTATGCTGAACTCGGCGATATCTTGATTTTTCCACTTATGGATCTTCCGTGGGGGAGGGGGGTATGACTGTAAAATCTCCACAATTATTTTGAAACCGAATTTCCTGTACTCAGAAACCTAAAACCCGAGAAAAGTCAAACAATCGCTAAGATCTTCTTATCGCTAAAGATCTTCTTATCGGTGCTATTCTGGAAGAAATATTAGAAATACTCAATAGACAGTTATCTGCAGCCGTGGCGCAGTGGTACCGTATTTGCCTCAAATGTAAAAGATCCGTGATTCAAACCCAATCTCTGGACAAGCTTTGCAACATCGGTTAGGAAGGAGGCGTGAACTACCTATTAAATGCTCATCTGTGGTGCTATGTGATAAGATCGTAAGGACTTCTTGGGGCATATAAATAAAATTTTTTTAAAAAAATCTAAAATGGACTTTTTTAAAAATCCGGATATCCCTTACTAAAAGTTGAAACTGGCACCTCTCACCAACCTAGGGTGTGAATCAGAATTCGTAAAAACTTGATAACCAAGTCAAAATATGTAGTGGCTTCACAACCGTCACTAAGTTATCCAGAAAAAGTATAGAGGTGACAAATGGTCAACTGAGAGATTCATTCTTTACCGAGCTCGTATGCGAAGACAAGAGAAAGAAATGGAAATGGGCGAGAAAGTCTGGTAAAACAGGCCAAAAAACTAGAGAAGGAATAACTGTGACTCGAGTCACAGATCAATCTTTTAACTTTTGGAATGTTTAAGAGTTGTAAGTTGTACCATTTTATTCGCATATAAATTAAACCATTGTTAATACGTCAATTTTACATTGAAATTCAAATTCCGTGACCCGGAAAACCATAAAAAAGAGGATATCACAAGGTTTAATTTGGATTAAGATGTTGGGGTCTCAAAATTAATATTAAAATTGTAGCGGTTATTTTGAAAAATGACCGCGATCAGACATCATGCAATGTAGTAAAGCAAAATTTTTTTTTTTTTTGTTTTTTTTTTTTGTTTTTTTTTTTGTTTACATTTGACATAATATATATAAATTACATATTTCTCAAATACAAACAAGGCTTCTAAAAGAAGATCACAATGATCTTATCGTCAGAAGCCTTTTACAAAAGAGAGTACGCAAAATATTATTAAAAAAAAAAAAAAAAAGCGTTATTACAATGAGCACGTAAAAATAACATAAAAACATTAGATCGTACTTATTTAAAATAAAAATAAATCGTAAATAAGTATAAAACAAAACTTGAAAATAAAAATTATTTTTTTATCACAAGATAAATTAAAAATATTCTAAGATATTTTCAATAAGGAGAATGAGATCTTTTAATTTATTTTTGAAAACAGGGTAAGTTAGTGGTAAGTCGAAGTTGGGCAAAATAATTTTGTTCCAGAGATGGGCTGCACAATAAGTGATACAAAATTGATTGAACTTTGTTCGACAGAGTGGTTCATTTAAATAATTATTATTTCTCATGTTAAACTTGTTTAATGGTTTCAAAATAAAAAGGTCTTTAAAAATTAAAGGAGATAAATCATACTTCCACATATAAACAAAAGACAAATTTTTATATACGTTTAGTTTATATATATCGAGTATTTTCATTTGATTAAAAATATTGAGGAATGTGCGAACCGATCCGCAGAATTAATTAAACGGATCGCATGTTTCTGACGGCGATAGAGACATTGTAACTTGCTTTGATTTGTGCTACCCCAGGCAATAAATTCATAACTTATATAACTATGAATAAAAGAGTAATAAAGTTTTGTTAAATTATTTTTATCTAAATGAGAACGCGCCTTTATAAAATTCCGATACTTTTTGAAACTTTCGAGCAGACATAGTGAATATGATGTTTTAAAATAAAGTTTTAAAATGATTTGAAAGCTGTTTGTCAAATCGTAAACAATTTGTTCCGAGTAATGACGGTTATCACACCAATTGTCTTTCTATAACATGTGGAGTCCCACAAGGCTCAATTCTTGGTCCACTCCTTTTCCTAATTTATACTAATGGTTTAAATAAAGCCTCTAAACTAACAAGTATTATGTTTGCAGACGGTACTAACTTATTTCTTTCTAACAGTGATATCTTTGAACTTTTTAAAACAATGAACAAAGAGCTTATACATGTATCGAGTTGGTTTAAATGTAATAAGTTAACTCTAAACTCTAATAAAACAAAGTAAACCTTATTCCATTCGCTTTCCAAAAAACGGTATTTGCCATTAAACTTACCTAAAATTTTTATTGATCAAAATGAAATAAAAAGGGATTCCGTAACAAAATGTTTAGGTGTTTATCTTGATGAAAACATAACTTGGAATCATCATATCGACTACATAAGCACTAAAATTTCAAAAAACATAGGAGTTTTATATAAAGCACGAATCTACCTCAATAAGAAAATTTTAATCAAACTTTATTATTCATTTATACACTTTTATTTAAATTATGCTAATATCGCCTGGGGTAGTACAGAAAAAAGTAAGTTGCAACGTCTTTATCGCCGTCAGAAACATGCTATCCGTTTAATCTGCTTTGCAAATCGCTTTTTCTCACGCAAAGCATTATTTTATTGAAATGAGAATTTTAAATATATACGAGCTAAATATATATAATGTTTTATGCTTTGTATACATGTGGAAAAATGACTTGTCTCAATCTGTCTTCAAAGATATTTTTACTCCGAAACCCATCAACAAATACAATTTGAGAAATACTGATTTTTTAGATGAACCTTTCTGTCAAACGAACTTTAATCAATTTTGTATTGCCTATCGGGCACCACACCTTTGGAATAAAATTGTTTTGCCCAATTTTGATTTCGAACTACCCATTACTTTTTGTTTTTTTAAAAGTAAATTAAAAACCCTAATTTTTTCATTAGAAGACGTATTATGTTATTATTAATAATATAAATTAATAACTTTGCATTTTCTTATTTATATTTGTAAAAAGTTTATTCTTACTTATTTTGTTGATTTTATATTCTTTACTTAACGTATACGTTTA